ACGATCACTATTTTAGTTAAGCCCTACATCGTGCATCTCCAAGCTTTCTGTCCCACTTTTATCCCCTTGGGTTCAGATCTAGAAGCCATCAGAGTCTAGGCTCTATGGGTATGCATTAGGTTTTCCTTAAACAGCTTTGGAGGTGCCAGTGAAGAGCTTTGATTTTCAGTCACTCTGCCATCAATAGCGAGCCTGAATATCTATTTCAAAAGTCATTCATTCTCAACTTAAGTATTTACTTATTTATTTTTTAAAGATTTATTTATTTATTTGAGAGAGAGAGAGACAGGGAGAGCACAAGCAGGGAGAGAGGCAGAGGGAGAAGGAGAAGCAGACTCCCCGCTGAGCAGGGAGCCCAATGTGGGGCTCGATCCCAGGACCTGGAGATCATGACCTGAGCCGAAGGCAGATGCTTAACGACTGAGCCACCCAGGCACCCCTCAACTTAAGTATTTATAGAGTATCTATGTGTTGGCTCCCTAAGGCCTCCTTATTTGTCTTTCTCTACTCAGTCTCTTGGGGTTGTAAGTGAGCAAGGCCAGAAGACCTTTAGATATGGTTCCTCTTCTCCGTGGTCTCCACTCTTGCTGGGAGAACAATCCTAGCCCTTGGAGCACATAAAAGACATCTTCCTTAAGGAAAAAGTCTCAAATTTTACTGTTTTCTCATGAAAACAGACAACAAAAAATCTAGAGCATTAAGAATAATTTAAAAGCACACTTGAGGGTGCCTGGGTGGCTCAGTCGTTAAGCGTCTGCCTTCGCCTCAGGTCATGATCCCAGGGTCCTGGGATCGAGTCCCACATCGGGCTCCCTGCTCGGCAGGAAGCCCGCTTCTCCCTCTCCCACTCCCCCTGCTTGTGTTCCTGCTCTCGCTATCAATCTGTCAAATAAATAAATAAAATCTTTAAAAAAAAAAAAAGCACACGTGAATTTTTGTCTTTTCATAGTTATTAAGATTCCTAAGTGTCAGATATATTTTGTCATCAGATTCCTGACGGTCGCATGACCCAGGCTCCCCAGGTGCTGTGCTGAAGTGTTAGGGGCATCCTCAGGAGGCAGAACTGCCTGGGTTTGCATTCCAGCTTCGCTGCTTCCTGTGAGACTTCATTTCCTCAACTGCCACAATAAAGTTAATAATAGTGCCCAGCTCATGGGGTTGCTGTGAGCAGGAAGTGAGTTTAAACTGTAAAATGCTTTAGAACAGTATCTGGTGCATAATATATGTTCACTAAATGCTGTTAAAATGGTTGTTGTGTTGGTTGAGGTAATAGCTTTATTTCTTCACCCAGAAGACTAAATAGTCATGACATAAACAGTTGTTCTTCACAAGGCAACCCACTTCTTCAGCAAACTGCCTTTAGTTTGAGGAAACACTTAACTAAATGTTTTCACTCTATCCTACTATTTAGAGAATGATGTTCAGTTAGCTTCTTGTTTTTCATGGAATTTATGGTGTCCCCAGTCTTTCAGAGCTGTTGGAAATGTATTCTAAAGTTGTTCATCATTAGAGTTAAAAGTGCTTTCATGTTCTGCGATCGAGGGATCCCCGCTAGTAAATGTTGGATCCTGAAGTGTAGGCACAGAAATGGTTAGTGACACCATCCCTGTTACAGATGCATCCCCTGCTCTGCCGTGTGAGCACCCACCCCCACTTTGATGTCTGTTTCCCAATTTGAAATTCTGAGCAGGTTGGTCTTCGTGTTCTGAGGACATGAGGGGGCCAGGAATTCTGAGGAAATGGGGTGGCCAGGGTGGGTGATGCCTTTTCTGGTATCCTGGTCTGTGGATCCCTAAGACTCTAGTTGAGTTATAAACTGTGGGGGCGGGGGGTGGGGTGGGGATGGTAAGTAAGTGAACACACCTACTGTTGTTGAGAGTAATCTTGCCTTACAATGGCTTTAGCAGTGGGTCTGGCAATTCGAAGGAGACTGTGTTCATTTACTTTCAATTGAATACATACTGTGGTCATTTTTCACTACAGGGTGTTTAACAGTTGGTTTCTTCCTCTTAAATTGGAGGCACTTATACAGAGAACACCTTCTCGTTCAGTAGAGTGTGATTTGTTCATTCAATTGGTTTTATAGAATACCTATTACTGAAGATGATGTCTGTGGTTTATTGAGTACCTAGTATATCTAAGGCATTCTGCCTACACCAGTGGAGGGATGAATAGGATGTAGTCTCCTTTCCCTGGCAAGGTAGGGGAAAGATAGGAATAGAAACAACTGCTTCAAGTAAGATGGAAATCTTACGGATTGAGGTGCAAGCAGGGAGCCACGTGATCACATCAGTTCTTTTCAGCTAAGAGACCTACTTACATTTACTTAAGTGGTGGCATTTGAGCTAAGCCTGGAGGAAAGTGGTAGGATTTCAGGAACTACAGAGAGAAGCTGCAGTCTACACCAGGCGGAGGGAGGATTGCAGACAAAGGTCGGGGTGTGTGGAAGGTCTGGAAGGACTGAGCATGGGGTGCTGGAGACCAGGCTGAGAGTAGCTCCTTGGATTTAGTGATGTGCCATTGTGTGGCCTTTACAAGATACCCACGTGGATATATTCTCTGAGCACTTAGGAATTCTGGTCCAGCAGATAAGTGAGATTTGGATCTGGGATTCAAGCCTTCTGAGAAATCTTTGAGGCCTAGGGGAGTAGAGCGAGGAGACTTGAGGACAGAGGGCTGACAGAAGCCTCCCATTTAAGTGGAAGAGTCACCAGGGAGATAAAGGTCCCAGAAGAGCCTTGGGACAGGGACAGGCTGGATCAAAACTGGCAGATGCTGTGGCTGAGAAGAAGCTTTTGAATAGGATAAGAACTCTGATTCTTACTATGGTATTGTCTTTTAAAATTTTTTTAAATTAAAAATTTTCAAACTCTTCTAAAGTAGGAAAGTGTATTATACTGTGACCCACCGTGTTCCCATTATGCAACTTCAATTATTATTAATATTTTATCAAGCTTCCTTCATCTCCCACCTTTCTGGGGGAAGAGAAGGGAGATGGAGCACTTTGAAGCATGATCAGGCTTGCGTCATTTCTCCTGTGCTTTAGCTCGCGCCACTTCATAGGGATGATTTGTTTTTACACTACCGTAAGTCATTGTCTTGCCAAAGTTGAAAAAAAAAGCAGTAATTCTCTGTATCAACTAATTAAACTTTTTTCGTTTAAATAATTTGAAGTCCTTGCAGTGCTTTTTAATTCCATAGAGGTTAGATCTCTGAGGGCCCATTTGGGAAATGGGCAAGGTCATGAGGAAGATAATGAAATGCCCTTTGCAAGAGATGCTCCTCCTACGCAGCCCCTGGTGGGGTAAATGGGAGGCTGTTTATTTTGCATATACGCTAACTCCCTGTGAATCACAACTGAAATCTCAGTTGGGCTTCCTGTCTTTAGATCATAGGAATTAAAACAGTGGTACTGCTGCAGTTTTGCCACGGCTGACCCACAAACCATCCACTTCCTCATTCTGGAGCAGTGTCCTCATTCAGGACCTGTGGTCCTCTCCAGACACATTCTTGATTGTCGTGCTCTTGGGGTAAAGGGGCTACCATCATCTAGTGCAAAGAGAGAGGGGAGGGATGCACAGGACAGCTCTCCATAACAAAAGATTAACCCGCCTAAAATACCAGTAGTGTCAAGCCTGAGAAACCGTATGTTAGAGGAGCAGCATATTCCAGAGGAGAAGCACCCTTTTCGGTTTGTTACTATGTCACATGTTTGTGTACGAGGTTACCAGTAAGAATTTTTGTCTCTTCTTTGGAGAGAGCTTAATGTCCCTGTAGATGTCTGCATCACCTGAGTTGGGTTTGGCCATATTTTTGGGCCTACCAAACTTCATTCCAATTTTTATTTTCTTTGTGTCCTTGGACTCTAGCAGAACACGGAAGTGATTTGGTTTCTCTGGGCAGGAGATTTAAGGTGGAATGCATTTTCTGAGACATGTTCACTGGTCTGAGCAAAGTTCTGTCTTTGGAAGAAGAGGATAGCTTGAGGGTGTTATTTAACAAGCTGGTAAGGCTTGTTAAATCAAGATACGATCTATATTTCTTCACCCTGATTTGAAATTGAGCAGTCTTTTGTAGTAATTCAGAAACATAAATTATTTCACTTTCATTATTTGTAGGAAATACAATTGGAGCATGCAAAGCAAGCCTTTGTGCAAAGGGACAATGCCAGGACCGGAAAAGTTACAGCCATTGACTTCCGAGACATCATGGTCACCATCCGCCCCCACGTCTTGACTCCTTTTGTAGAAGAATGTCTAGTAGCTGTAAGTTGTAACTTGCCCTAACGACGCAGTTTATTTTACCTGGCAAAAGCTCAGTAAATAAGGGATTATAAGAACAATTCTTTAAAATTATGTGGAGTTTTTTCAGTTTAAAACACTAACATTTTTGTAATGTGATCCCATATATTACTAAACTTACAGACAGTATATTTTGGCTAGTTTTAGGGATAGGTTAATTTGTTTTCTGGATCATATGGAATATATAAATGTATTAACTGGTTTTAAAAAAGGAAAAACAAATTTATGGTTTCATATTAATTTTGCTGTATATTTTGGGGTATGTCAAATGCTAATCTTCACTCTCGTCAAGGCAAAATTTAAAAAAAAAAAAATAGTGCATGCAGATATATTTCTTTGAGTGGTCAGCAGAAGAGAAACTCTAAAGCTTCGATTCACTCGGTCATTTAACATGCATGTGTTGAAGGAACAGTGGCGCATGTGATGTGCGGGGCCCGGTTGGCCTGTGTCATAGCTTAAATCCCAGTGGGTGCCCAGCCATTCTTCTGACCTCATGGACCTAGAAGGTGGCCCAGAACATTCTGTGCTGGAGGTTCCCAGGCCTTGGTCACAAAGCATAAGAATGACCAGGCATATTAAAAATACAGATAATGACATTTTCTTCCAGGCCTGTGGATTTATCTCCTATAGGTGGTGAGGTCCTAGAATCTCCTTTCTAAAGCTTCCCAGGTAATTCTGATGATCATGCATATTTGGAAACCCTTACACAGTGCTTTTGTTAGTCCCAGGGAGAAGACTTTTGGAGTGTTTTTACCATGCTCTGGGTTTCCCACAATGCTTACCATAGGCAGGAACTCAGCATAGCTTTTCACTTTCACTTTATTTCCTGGTTCCTCGTTTGGGAGGCATGGAACTCTGACAAGGCCTTTTCCACTCTGCACTGTGTTAGTCTAGCTCCTTTTCTGGCCTTCCCCTGCCCTTCTCTACTCCATTTTAAACTCTTAGGTCAGCTATTTTAAATGATTACTAAGTGAAGATTTATGTGGTTGTTACCTTATAAAGAAGTGCTTTCCTAATAAAAATATTTTGCCTTGTTAGGGAAGGAGAGAATTTGAAACCCCAAACTGAAGTTCCATTCATAATGACCGTGCTATCTGTTTCCCTTGCCCCCTGGGAAGAAATATGGCTTCTTACAAATTCTGATTATCAGTATTCTGACCAGTCTTAACCCCCATCCAAGCATATGACATCTCATAATTTTACCGGAATACGCTTGTTTGCTAGAAATCCCACCAGTGTAAAGTCTGATTATTTATTGCTAGTTCTAAGTAACATGACAAATCATGATATTAATGTTAGATTGACCACTTTCATACTATGTTTGGGTTGGTATAATACAGTTTTACATGTCTAAGCACACACATGTGTGCATGTGTATAGTATAGTTGTGCATGTCTAAGCCTCTCAGAATTGCTCATTAGATGAAATAAACAAACTTATAAAACATTTCCAATTGAAATTTGAACTCTATAAATTACTACTGGTCCTGTTGTTATAATCCTACACATGTATTTATTTAGTTTTCTAGGACTTGTGTGTGGAGAGTATAAGCTCTGGTCATGATTAGTTGCAGTTACTTTTAAAATTCATTTATAGCTTTTTTTTTTTTTTTAATGTGAAAAGAAAATACTTATGGCCATTTCTTCTTATCCATGCGTTCTTGATTACTTCCAAAACTAGCATTTGATATATGTACTTCTGAATCTTCTTCATTTTATAAATCCTTTGTTTATTGTTCTTCTCCCCTTTCTTACGTTCAACTTACTTGAGGCTGCTGGAGGTACTACATCCCATCAAGTTAGCTTCTCCTATTTTAATGGATTTAATTCACTCCTTAACAACATGGAACTCATTAGAAAGATCTACAGCACTCTGGCTGGCAACAGGAAAGATGTAGAGGTGACTAAGGGTGAGTGAGAATAAATCTGAATTTTTGCCTGTTAGTATCTTGGTGTATTATTATTAGGGTAAAGAAGGCAACCAGGAAATTACGTTACAGATTTTTCTATCCCATTGACACATATTAACCATATGGTACATGTGTGTGCTCCATCCTTTGATCAGACAAACAAAAGCAAATAAAACAATCTTCAGCAAGTTTTAAATAAACTGAAGACAGCCTTTGAATTAGGGAACCATGTAAAATTTCTTAACTGTTTTCAAATCGTGCTAAAACCTGAGCTAAATCTGTGGCCTCTAAAGTGGCCTTCAGAAGTACATGAGGAATTCCGTAAACTTACACTGGTGACAACCTCAGAACGAGATATCAACATTTTAATGTTTTTTGTTTTTTGTTTTTAAAAAAGAATTGCCTTAGGAATTGCACAGCTTCATTAATAAAACCTCCCAGGCCTGATGCATGTGAAGTTTCGTATCGGCCTCCTTGTTTTCTGGGACCTGCAATTTGAATAACGTCCTGTGTCATTTATTCCAAGGCTTCCAATGAGACATCAGGCTTTTAAAGTCAATGTTAGAGAAACTATTCTGCACACACCTTCCAGACGAATGAAAGAATTGCAATAATTCTTGCCCTGTTTGGGTTTACTTGAATTCTGTGACTGATAATAAAGTTTTGTGATGTTCACTCACTCCAGCGCCCTGAGTTAATGCTGCATTTAGTGGCTATTCCTTCTTGAATCTTTCCCTTTTAACTCTTTTTCCATACAGGGGAGTTTGTTCTGGCAGCTCAGAAATTTGGTCAGGTTACACCCATGGAAGTTGACATCTTGTTTCAGTTAGCAGATTTATATGAGCCACGCGGGTAAGTTGGCCTTTTTTTTTTTTCCTAATTAGCTTAATAAAAGGAGGTTAGGGGATGGAGGGGGTGGGGGTAGGAGGAGGGCAGCACACTGGGAGAAAAAGAAGCCAAATAAAAGAGGACTCCGAAATAGGGCAACAAAAAAGGGAATGTTTTCAAATTCCATATTGCAAATTTTAATAAACTAGTGTTTTGTTGTTGCTCATGCTTGTTTTTTTCCCCTTCAGACGTATGACCTTAGCAGACATTGAACGAATTGCTCCACTGGAAGAGGGAACTCTGCCCTTCAACTTGGCTGAGGCCCAGAAGCAGGTGGGCAAAAGGAACAAACTTGCTTCCGATGTTTCTTCAGTAGGGTACCCCCAAACCTTTTCTACTCGCAGTTGCCTTTTTGGCACTGGTATCTGACCTGCCGTTTTAACATTTTGCACCAAAAATCCAGACAATTTCAAAAGGCTGCAAAGAGAAATTAGTTAGAGATGTTCTGATTGACAGATAGTTGCTTGTTACTTTCAAGGATGGGGTGATTTCCTAACTGCACTGGAAGCCTGCCCCCCCACCCCCCATGCCAAAATAGGCAGAAGATCTTTTCTTCTTCCCTAACTCTGGTGCTGGGGGATGGTGGGCCAGGCGCCGTGTTTTGGTGTCGCTGTCCCAGCGCGGCAGCATGTTGCTGACCGAAAGCCTTCTCGGCTGCACAGAGAGGTACTTCATCAGCTCATTGTGTGCCTGCCGCGCCTTCCGTTTTTCTGAATATCAAAATGAGATAATTTTGTTTAGTCTGGAGTAATAGTTTGAAGGCTTTTAGACTTCTTTTCTCTGTGAAAGGATTCATAAGTTATGTGGAAACAATTTGAGGAATGCTAAATTTTATTTTATGGTTAACAGAAACCAATCTCATGAAGTCATGAGGGTCAGAAACTTAAGACATGGGACCTCCTCATTTAACTCTTGCTCAACTTGCTGTGGGTCAGGATTAGAGAATAAAAGCTTTCATAGCATGTGTTGTGCTTACACGATGTTTGTAAAGTAAATCCAGTCACAGACGAGCGTCATTGTAGAAAAATACCTCCTTTAAGGCAAAGCCACCCCTGAATCCTGTGAGACTTAACAGTTTTTGGCTTGGAGCTCCGAGTCTGCACAGAGACGCCAGTTTGACCACAATGGGTTGATGCGGCCTACATTTTTAGGACGGGCAGGCCTCGAGCCAGCACCCCTCCTTTCAGCTCTCCCCACACCCCCCGAATGCAGCGGCGAGTTTTGTGTGCAGCGTGTAGCTCAGAGTGGTGGGTGTGTGCTCAGGAAACCCGAACGAACGAGGCACCTCTGGAATGCCGGCTGGCTGTTACAAGAGGGAGCCGATGTCCCCGAGTGCAGGAGAGCGCACTGTGTAGTCACGTGCGAGGTCGCAGCTCCATTGCTCTCCGCCCTTTGATTTTTAAACGCAGCTTACCAGACGCTTAGCTCTTCGTCTCTATGCAACTAGCTGTCGTAGAAATTTGGGAATTAAGAAAAAGCAGAGGGGTGTTTTGTTTTGTTTTTAAAAGATTCCTTCTGTTCTCCAGCTGGCAGTGGTAGCCCACAGTTTTTCCTTCCTGCTCTCTGCAACTTTTGAGAGTTTATGGTGGTGCTCATTGATTCTGGCCCTGCAAGGGTTAGATGAGATTTACAGCAGGAAATGATTGGCTGCGGCTGAGAGGTTGAGAGCGATTCACAGCAGCCTTGCCTGGAATATTCTTTCCTATGTAAACGCCAGTAGGCCTGACAACACTGACGGACTCAGGCAATGGAGGTCATCCACCTGGTAGGCTCCGTGCTAGCGTGGATCCTCAACAGAGTTGTGCAGGAATGGGAATCTTTCTTGTCTCATGAGCATGCTACACTTCGAGCTTCAGAAAAGTTAAATGAAAATTTGGGACTGCATTTATTTTGTCTTTTCCATTAAGAGTTAGTGATAGCGGTTAGGTCCACTGTGCGCCCTCCCCCCATTATTTTCAAAGTACTTTCACTCATTATTTTGATGCCAGAATCTAAGTCTTACATATTTATATCCATATAAAAAAAGTAGTGCCTTTCTTAAGGATGCATTTGTCAAAATGAGGTTACTTGTGATTTCCGTCTATGCAGAGATAGAGTTGGAAAAACCCCATGAAATTTGCAGAAGACATGCTTTACATTCTAAAGATGCATATTTCTATGTAAAGCTATTTTCAGTGAAGTAACTTCACAGGAGAGTCCAAATTATCTCATTCTGTTAGAATTGTGTAAGATTGACAGCAACTAAAATTCAGTGGGTTGATAGCTGGGGTTGGTAATTATTTTCATTGTTCACTATTTTAATTATCATGGCTTTTGAAAAAACAAACTTTATTGAATGTATTCATTCAACAGGTACTGTTAAGCATTAACTATCACCCTCATTTGACAACTTTGCGTGACATAAAATTACTGTTTTATTTATGTAGAGCAGAAAAATGCACTACTCTGAGATGTTCTGGCATCAAAAACACAGTAAGGATAGTAGGTCAAAAGAAAAATAAAATAACAACTGACTGGCGTGAAGTATGAATTTAGAAAAAAGTGGATAGGAAAGAGGAGAAAGTAACAATTACTTGTAATACAACCACCTAGTTGTAGCCACTGTAAATGTTTTGAGTTATCTCTAGGTGTTGGAATAGCCAAAATGTTAGTATGTTTTTATATGCATACATATGCCCACAAATAATTTTAATTAAAAACATCATATTGCACACAGTCTTTAACATTGTTCTTAAAAGATTATCATGAAATATTTCAAACATTTATAAAGGTATCATGAATACCTGTCTACCTGCCATATTCCTTTTAACCTGTTTTCACTTTATAAGCCCTTATGAACATTTGTCTTAACATCAAATAATTCTTTTACAATGACATATGATTTCATTTTAAGGCTGTAGCGTTTTTTTAATGTTTATTCATTTATTTAAATAATCTCCATACCCACCGTGGGACTCGAACTCACGACCCTAAGATCAAGAGTCGCATACTTTATGGAATGAGCCAGTCAAGCATCCCAAGGGTGCAGCATTGTTAACCAGGCCTCTGTTATTGGACATTTAGGTTACTTTCAGAGTTTTTGCTCTTAAACAGTATTGCTTTTTAACATTCATAGGTTGATCCATGTCCACATACATGATTATTTTCTAGTCTCATTTTTTATAAGTAGCTCTGCGGGGCAGAGGTTATGTACAAGAGTTTGGGTGTATATTACCAAGTTTTCCTTCAAGTTTATACTAGATTAAATGGCAGGTTTGAGAAGCCCCATTTTTATCAACTCTTCCCCGGCTGGGTGTTGCCATTAGAAAACAAACTATGGTGACAGATGGTAGTTAGATTTATCATGGTGAACACTTCACAGAGTACCTCAATGTTGAAACACTTTGTTTTACACCTGAAACTAGTATATTGTAGGTCAACGACACTTGACTAAAATGAATAAACAAAAACCCCCCAAACCTCCCAGTTTGCTTGAAGAAGAATGATGTCTTATTAATGTTTTTAAGTTTGGATCTCCCTGATCACTGCCAAGAATTAAACAGTTGAAAATAGGTTCATAACGTTTTTGGGGGAGTACATAATGGTTTTCATTATGTTCAGATTTGATTTGCAGCATTAACAATAATAATAACTTTTTCTTAATAAGAACAACAGAATCTAACCCTGCCTTCCTCTTTGTAATGTTAGTTGGTATCGTGAATTTGGAACCCAGGGGGCAATTTAAAAAAATCATATGTGCTCATTTCTGTTCTGTCCTTTCTGTCTCCTGCCCCCCCCCCCGACTCCTGTATGTGCAAAGAAGAAGGCCTCAGTGGATTCCTCCCGACCGGTTCTCCTGCAGGTTGCAGAGTCGGCCTACAGGTTTGGGCTGGGTTCCATTGCTGGAGGTTAGTCATGGATGAATGCAAATTTTTCACTTTTATCATTCCTCTGATTTTTTTCTCTGATTTTCCACCTTACAGTATTAATGGACAGAGCCTTCCTTGGTCTTTCCAAGCGCATGTCCCGTGTGCACCTCTGGGATGGGACAAGAGCAAAGGGAACTTCCCCCATACCTGCCTGTGGTCAGGGCCTTTTTCATTTAGCTGCAGATAGGCTTTTTTAAGATGGGTGAACAACGCAGTTAGGCTGTAGGTGATGTGTTTTTGTACATTTGAACTGTCTGGGACATCATTTTATCAGGAGACACTTGAATGAAAATCCAGAGTTGTTTATTAGGAAAGTTCATGCCGTTTGACAATCTGTACATGCCCAGTTTGTTCCTCTGCTTCATCAGGCTTCTCTTTGACGTTGACCAGTGGTATTGTCTGATTTTAGCTGTTGGAGCCACTGCTGTGTATCCTATCGATCTCGTAAAAACTCGAATGCAGAACCAACGATCAACTGGCTCTTTTGTGGGAGAACTTATGTATAAAAACAGCTTTGACTGTTTTAAGAAGGTGCTACGCTACGAAGGCTTCTTTGGACTGTACAGAGGTTAGTGCTGTGTGCTGAATCCATGTAAGGTGAAACAGTAGCCAGAAGGTTTGGTTTTCCATCTGCATGCCTGACATGGATTAGGGAGACTGCATTACAGTGGAAATGCAGCAGATTCTCAATTATCCATGCTGATGGGAGTAGGCTGGAGGCATCCAGCGCATGGCTAATCAAAACAGCCCATAATCTGAAAGCCATTTATATTGCTCTTTAGTATGTTTTATTTCTTAAAATAATTATTTTTTATAAATATCCTCCGTGGGTTTTTTAAAAGGCTAATATTATGGCACCTGGGTTGCTCAGTCGTTAAGCGTCTGCCTTGGGCTCAGGTCATGATCCCAGGGTGCTGGGCTCGAACCCCACATCCGGCTCCCTGCTCCGCGGGAAGCCTGCTTCTCCCTCTCCTGCTCCTCCTGCTTGTGTTCCCTTTCTCGCTGTGTCTCTCTCTGTCAAATAAATAAATAAAATCTTTAAAAAAAAAAATAAATAAAAGGCTCATTTTGTTTGTTGTCTTGAAGTAACTCTGCTCACCAGTTAAAAGGAAAAGGCATCCTGGGGACGGGACAGAGCCTACTTGGGATTAATGATTGTCCTTGAACATACCCCAGAAAAGTCTGTCAGGCGGGTAACCAAGGGTTCAGTGGAGTCCTCCTTTACTGCCTCTTTCTTAAAGATGCCTCTTCCCTTCCTCTCACTCTGTACCCAATGGAGTTGAGTCATACACCACTCTAACAGGTAGTCCTATCCAGCTGTTCCTTCAATCATCTAAGGCTCATGAAGCAAGGGAAACAGTAGCAAGATATATGGCATCACTGATAGAAAATATCCCACAGATCCTGACTGGTTTTCCATTGTCATTGGCCTAAAGAGGCTTGACTTTATTTCCCAACCTCTCTGTATTGCCTTCTACAAAGAGAAAAGAAGTAAGTGTATTTGCATCAGCAACTAAAATACTGTATTGTGGGGCACCTGGGTGGCTCAGTTGGTTAAGCATCCAACTCTTGGTTTTGGTTAGGGTAATGAGATCGAGCCCCATGTTGGGCTCTGCGCTGGGTGTGGAACCTGCTTAAGATTCCCTCCCTCCCTCTGCCCCTCCCCCTGTGCACGCACACTCTCTCTTTCAAAAATAAATAAAATAAAATACAGTATTGCAAGGCGGTTCAAGCTGAGCCACTTTGCCATTTGGCAGCTGCACTGTTGGCAGGGTCTTCCCTCCCTTTCAATGCTTGCTGTAGAAGAAAATAGTATTTAGTACTCTGGGGACAGACCTTGAAACTGGCAGCCATGTAAACCTTTGCCTCTAGGCCTCTTCTGCCATCTGCTGACTCCAGTCTTCATCTTATGCATCCAGGTGTAAAAAAACAAAGACCCCTCTTGAAATCTCTCACCTTATAAACTAGGGGGTTTTGAACTCCAGAGAAGTTCCATTTTGCAGGTTCTGTTGTGTAGGTAGATAACTCCCATCAAAGGCCTTTTGATCTGTTCTCTGCCCTCTTTCCCTCACCCCCTGCCTCTTCTTACAATCGAGAAGGTCTTTGACCCCAGGTGATTGATGATGACCCTTACAGGGTCACTGCCTTCCATTGAAATACTCTTCTGTCCTGGTGACAACAAACCTCACAGATGAAATGTCTCCCAGGTAGTGCAAGGTTAATGTCACAGTGCCTGCTTTGCTGTGATTCGGGCAAAGGCTGCCACCTTCCCTGTTCCCGTGGGTTGTGTTCTGCCTGGAGAGCTTTGCATGTCAAGCCAGAAGCACGTCTGAGCCTTCCCATTGCTTCCCAGACTACTTTTATGGCCTTCCCTCGGGATTGGATTAAATGTCGAGAGTGCCTTTAGGATTGTGAGAAATACTTTTTGTCCTGCTGAATGTCTTTAATATGCTTGTGTTGACCTGGTTTGATTTCATTTTGAGTCCCTTCTCTTTCCTCTTTGACCAGTCTGACAGATCTTGATTCTTGGTTGTATCCAGATTTTCTTCCTTGACCTATTCTTTTAACCCCATAGACAGGACAGCTTAAAGCATACCTGAGTATCGAGTGCTGAGCTAATATGGCCATCCCACAAACCTCTTGCTCTTTCAGAGATTATATCTGTAAGATGAGGGGCTTGGGGGAGGGGGTGGAGCTAGTTTTAACTCCTTAGGGAAGGGGTGTCAGCCCCCCTATTAGAGATGGAGGCTCACTTTGAAAACCAAAGACGCAGTCCTCCCCCTTTTCCTGGTTTAGAAACAGCCATTTATCTCACCTGTTTTGGCTGCCTGAACCCTAAAGGGTTCCCTTTCAGAGGATGCTAGGTAGAATGTGAGTATAAGAAGATTAATTCTGGGAATCATTTCTGTTCATTTCCTCTTGACTTCTTCTATTTTCTAGTAAATGATTTTAAAGCGAAAGATTTATTATAAAACCTTGTTTGGTTTCTTTCTTTAGTTTGGATCTTGAGAGCAAAGAGATGATTGGCAGTTCAGGTTAAAAAAATTATTTATAACCTTGCTTCATAAAAATGACCTGTTCCTGTTACTGCTTAGGTGGGGACCAGTTCCCTTCCGTGCTTTGCACATAATCATTAATTAATAATTGTATGTAACTGCTTATTTATGAATGCTTGTCATTAGGGTAGCAGAAAGATCAGATGAAAATGGGAAGCCATCAGTACTAGCAGAGATTCTAAGAGAAACAGCAAGACCTGACGTACCCCTGGGAATCACTGTCGTAACCTGGTGTGTGCATAGTCAAGACAGCGCACGGTGTACGTGATTTTTTTTACTATAAATTTCTCATTAGATGTAGTTCTACTGTTTAAAAATTTTATTTTAGGGCACCTGGGTGGCTCAGTCGGTTAAGCAGCTGCCTTTGGCTCAGGTCATGATCCCAGGGTCCTGGGATTGAGTCCCGCATCGGGCTCCCTGCTCTGCGGGGAGCCTGCTTCTCCCTCTCCCTCTGCCTACTTGTATTCTCTCTCTCTGTCAAATAAATAAATAAAATCTTTAAAAAAAAATAAAAATAAAATAAAAATTTTATTTTAAGGGAAACTTGAATTTCAATTTTAGGAATTTAGAATTACCTCTGATAATGCTTCACCTAGCAGGATGTAAGACGGTGTCAGAGGACATCTCTAATTTATAAACATGTTTTGAAATACGGAGCCAATTTTTTTATTAGGGAATTTTGCTTAACATGTAATTTTTCTGCATCAATACATATATAATTGCTAATATTTCCTGAATAGTATAATTTGGGAATGTTGCACAAGTAAGGTCTCTCCCCCTATTTTTAAAATTATCTTTATGCATATTTCGGAAAAAAGTTGGCAGTTAACCCTGAAAGAAGATGCTTGCAGCATGTATTCTTATTATAAGGTTAATAAGCATCTTTCTCCCTCTTTTTTTTTCCTTTTCTTCCCATAACAAGAATACAGATCTCTAAAGGGGCGCTGTGTTTGTATCAAGAGGTAATTCCTCGTGCAACAGCTAGAATGAAGGTTCTTTCTAAAGAACTCTTGAGCCCTCCACCACAGGTGATTTTTCTGTTTGCTTTCTCTGGCTGCTCCCAGCCTCCACATGCAGTCCGGGAGGTTATCCAGTCCTAAATGGAGAACACATTTCAATTACTGCCCCAGGGTCCAAAGGGGAGTGTCAGCAACTGTCCTCAGCGGACTTGGTGGCGTCCTGGGCCTCCAGCAAGCCACAAGGCCTTGTAGTATTGGGGTTTCTTAGGTCTTACTCTCCATGTCTCTGCAGCTCACTGTTCCTTGTCTCTGAGAGTCTCTTATTCTGGAGGGATCAGGAAGGAGCCCCTTGGAAATACTATGGGACTGACTCTGCAGACCTTCTCTATTATATACACTACTTTCTTTACAAGAAAATGATTTCCCAAGGTTTTTCTGTAATTTTTGAAAATCAGACCCCCAGGCTAAGTCTAAGTCTGCCTGTATGAAGGGAAATAACACCCGAGATAATCCAGATCTGCCTGAAGTCACTTGTAAAAGGCTTCCTTTATTTCCTCCCCACTCTCCAGATTGATTTCATGCACTCAGGTGTTTAAAATTTTTAATGAAGTCCTGACAGCTCATTTGGTTTGAATGAACTGCATGACCAAATGAGTCAGTTATTGGCCTGCTATTGACTTGGCATATTAAAGAGAAACAATCGATTGGGTAATCGTCCCCAATTAAATGCTCTTACCAATCAAGGAATAACTAATTTCTGCCTTTAAACTTTGCTGTACTCTCCTCCCTCAGATGCTTGGGGTAATGAGATGAGCAGCCTTAGAAAATGGAAAATGTTTGGGGGAGGATCTTTGGGAGAAAGATTCAAGAGAAATCAGAATCCATGAGAAATACTTCTTAAAGGAAGGTCTTTGTTTTTGTTTCTGTTGATGGGAGAAGTCATAAAAAAAAAATCTGCCAGAAAGAGAAATTAGATCATTTTATGAATTAAACTTAATTTGGAGCACTACTTAATTTTCGAGTTAATTGGCAAAAAAATTTTTTTGTTTGTTTTAATTAAACCATTGATCTGGGCATACAGAGTCTTAAATGGGTCTATTTCATGTTGTCTGTGTGGTGCGAAAGCAGTCGTCTTCCATCCTGGAATGTTCTCAAGGTGACATCTAGAGGATATTGTGGTGATATCTCAGGAAGTTATTGATACGTTTGCATTCTGGAAGGAAGTTTTGTCAGACAGCTAGTTTAAGCAAGGCCTCTTCTTGTGGTTAATGGCTCTATAGAGGGGAGTACCCAAATTACATGGGTCTGCGGTGAAATTCCTTCTTGCATAATTCTTGTGGATAAAAATAAATTTAAAAAAATTCTAGCACCAAAATAAAACGATTGGAGTTTCTACAACTGTTTTGCATAACTTAAGAACGCATGTGTCTTGGAACCAACTGCAGTGAATCTTTGAACTGCGCCAAATCATGGCTGTCAATCCATGTCCAGCAAAGCTTCTAATGAGCACAAAATAGATTGGTTTGAATCTTATTTTTTTTTTTTTGCCAGTT